AAATATATACACATGCATATACACATGTACACACACTCACACAAAAAGACATACACATGTATACTCTCACACACACAGACAAACACACGCACACTCTCTCTCTCTCTCTCTCTCTCTCTCACTCTCTCACACACCATACTGACTCTTAACCCCTAAACAGACCCCGTAACTTCGCCTCAACAGAATAATACCGTTCATGTCTTACCATAAATCTAATTAAGGAGTATCTGGTTACCCGCACTTTTTGTACCGGAATTTATATCATCCGGAATCCTCTTAGTGTGGTATTTAAACTCCTTCACAATTCTCTTACTTAGATTCTAAAACACCCAGAACCGAATCGACCTCAGCATGGACTTCATACTTGTATATTTTTCCTATCAATAAAATCATACCCCGTGTAATCTAATTCCTTTTACAACTGAGTTACATAAATGACAAAGGATTCGGAGCTGATTCAAAGAAGACTCGGTCATTCTTAGCTTCCCGAACACCGAATCGTTGGGAATTAAGATGATTTAGCGTGATGTTAGTAGCAAATTAGCTTATCCAGAGGCCGGGAGAGTATGTATTTATGTGTTGTTTATGCTCAGTTTGGGGTTCCTGCGTGTATACAAGCCACTCATCAAGCATAAAAACCTCGTAAACATCACGAGCTGACGTGCAGGATGCCAAAATTCCACTTAATAACTCTTTAAGTGTCCATTTCTCTCTCTCTCTCTCTCTCTCTCTCTCTCTCTCTCTCTCCCTCTCTCTCATTTTTTCGTCAGTTCTCTACGTATCAAAAATTCGCTTAAAAAAGTTGCTCGGGTAATCCAGATTTACTAAGATTATTTTTTTTCTATAAAGTTCGTAAGAGTAGAGTTGGTTTACCCTTACCGAGTTCATGCTTATTTGACTACATGTAAAAGGTACTAATGAATGTGAAACTAAGATGAAACGGAGGTACCAATGTGAAGAGGGAACCTATGGGAAACAGAGGTACCAATGGGAAACGAAGCTACCAATGGGAAACAGATGCACCAATGGGAAACAGATGTACCAATGGAAATGAAGAAGAATATTAGGTAAAACACGGACACGAAACTCGGTCGAAACAAACACGGACATGAAACAAACACGGACATGAAACAAACACGGACATGAAACAAACACGGACATGAAACACGGGGTTCTAAAGACTCCCACTCAGATTTGAAGATAGAGAATAGCGTTTTAACAAGGCAGTAATATTTTTATAACTGGGCCACTCCTGTATGTTGCTTTACATTAAATATTGGCATAAGACTCCCGAACGGACGAAAGAAGTGAGATGGAAATGCATTCTTGGGGTATAGAAGGGAGAGAGAGAGAGGGGAAGGAAGAAGGGAGGGAGGTGGGAAGAATGAAAGAAAAGAAAAAAGGAAGGGAAGGAAGGACGGAGGGAGGTATAATGGAGGGAAGCAAGGAAGGAAAGTAGGGAGGGAGGGAGGGAGGGAGGTAGGGAGGTGGGAAGTATGAAAGAAAGAAAAAAGGAAGGGAAGGAAGGAGGGAGGGAGGTATAATGGAAGGAAGCAAGGAAGGAGGGATGGATAGGGAAAATAAGGAGAGAGTGAGTTGAAATAAAAATAAAGATACAGAGATAAGAGAATAAGATAAACATGACTAATATTACCCTATCTAATGCCCGATGTCCTTGAAGGAGCAATGGCAAGGAAGGAAGGAAGGAAGGAAGGAAGGAAGGAAGGAACGCTACGTTACGTTTACCAAGACTCATACATCAACACTTTTTCTCAACTCCTAAAATGAAAACACAACTAACAGATTCACCCCCAAAAAATCACAATACAATAACAAAAAAAAAAATCTCAAAACAAAACGGCGTCAATACTGTGCGGAGACTGTATCGTGAGTGAATGATGTTTTCTTACCCTCCTTCCACCGGTAAAGAGTTAAAGAATAAAAATAAAATAAAAAATTATCGTTCCAGTGTTTCAGAATCCGTGCTCAGGGTTCATATCCCAGGGTAACTTGTCGGAGTGTTGAAAGGCCTGAGTGAGTTTGCTTGTCAACACAGTCTAGAGAGAAGGTCTAGAGAGAGAGAGAGAGAGAGAGAGAGAGAGAGAGAGAGAGAGAGAGTGGGAAGGAGGGGAAGGTAGAGAGAATGAAAGTTAAAGAGAAAAAGAGAGTGGGTGAGTAAGGGAGAGGGAGGGAGAGGCAGGGAGAGAGGGAGAGGGAGGGAGAGAGTGTGAGAGTTAAAGAGAAAAAGAGAGTGGGGGTGAGAGAGGGAGAGGGAGGGAGAGGCAGGGAGAGAGGGAGGGAGTGAGAGTTAAAGAGGAAAAGAGAGTGAGTGAGTGAGTGAGAGTGTGTATGATATAGGACGAGAGAGAGAAAATAACACTGGAAGAGGGAGAATGAGGAAATGGAAGAGAGAGAGAAATGACAGAGAGAGAAAGAGAGAGAGACACATAAAGTAGAGGGAGACTGAACAGAATGGTAAAGAAAAAAATGCCACAGGAAGAAGGAAAGACAGAGAATGAGAAAAGGGGAAGAAGGAGAGTAGCAGAGAAAAAAAAGAGAGAGAAATAAAGTGATAAAGTGATAAGAGAAAGATTGATGGATAGATAAATGAATATCATGTATAAAGAGAGAGAAAAAGAGACAGAAAGGGAAAAATAAAAGAATGATAAACAAAGATAAATGAAGAAAAATAAAGATATAACCAAGAATAGAAAATATTCAAGAGAGGGAAAGAAGGAGAGACAGAACCAAAAAGATAAAACAGAGAGAAAGATAATGAAAGAGAATAACAGTGCGAAAGAATGAGAAAATGAAAGAGGAGGAAGATAAAGATGAAGAGAAAGTGGGATAAAGAGAGAAGCAGAAATAAGATAGATAAAACTCTCTCCGCCTCTCAATTTAGTCTGGTCTTATGGCCCCGTATATAAACACAGTTGTTACCATGGCAACGAAAAATATAAACAAATAGTCCGGTAGAAGTCAACCTGTTATTATTATTATTATTATTATTATTATTATTATTATTATTATTATTATTATTATTACTGTCCAATCATTTACATTCAACCCAACACATTAATGTCTAATGTTAATTAAAATAGGACATAATTATTATACTAATGGTAGTGGTAATAATAATAATAATAATAATAATAATAACAGTATTCTTATAATATTCTACAGAAAAAGAGTAAAATATTATTATTATTATTATTATTATTATTATTATTATTATTATTATTACTATTATCATTATTATTATTATTACTATTATCATTATTATTATTACTATTATCATTATTATTATCATTTCAACATCATAAAGAAAAAAAAAGATTCTAAATTAATAACAAACAAAAGCGAACTCCATGATGGTGAACACATGCAAATTAACACATAAACGGAAATAATGCTACCGGGAACACGGAATGCACACGTTAAACAAAAGAAGAAAAAAAAATTGTTTCCCGAAAAAGGGTGAATGGAAAATTTTTTAATGAGGTTGTTTATTCAAGGGAAATTGCCACCATTTAATCGCGTTCGTGAGATCAGAAAATTTACTGCACAATCCAAAAAAATTAAAAAAAAAATTAATTAAAAAGAAAATTTCAAAATATCAATTAAAAAGTTTGTTAATGTTTGCTCTCTCTCACTCTCTCTCTCCTTCTTTCTCTTATTATCTGTCCTCTTGCTCTCACTCTTTCTCCTTCGTTATGTCTACTCGCCTTATTCATTAATGCGTCTCTACACTTGGCTTATTTCTCTATCTCAATTTATCTATCTATCTATCTATCATTCTGTCTATATCTGTCATTCTGTCTATCTATCTATTCCTGTCTCTACCTCTAATTCAATCTCTCTCTCTCTCTCTCTCCTCAGTAATTTTTATTTAAAGAAAAAATCCTCAAAGTTTCAAATTCCGTAATTTTGTTCGAGAAGAAATTTTTGTTTTAGTTTTAATTTTTACCTGAGAATTTACGTCGCTAAAAACAACAAAAAATATACATAATTTTCTTTCATTTTCCATGAAATAATTTTCATGGGACTTTCCGCAATTGTTTTAATCTTTCATTTGCAGTATATCAAAACTCTTCCATCACATTTCATTTTACTATTTATTCGACCTTTTCTGTTAACATCTATTTCCTATTAATTTTCACGCTATTTTCATTTCATTATTATTATATAATTTCCAAATAAGTCCAAAGGCAAAAAAAAAAAAAAAGTCATAAGATCCAGTAGTGAGTATTAACAAATCCGACTTCACCCCTCACGAACACCCGACCTCCACTTGTGACGAGGATGAACACAATCAAATTAGGGCCTCTTGATCAGCCATCCATAGAATCTTTTTGGGTAATGTTAGTAGCTACCAGGTCAGGTCAGGGTCAGGTCAGGTTAGGTTAGGTTAGGCGACACTCGAGGCATAATATACTATATCGTATATATGTCTTTTAATGGGAAAGCAGGTAGGGTGATCCGAGGGTGTTGAATATCGACTCTGTAATCGTAATCTGATGCCTCCTCTTGATGGTTCATGACACACAATGTATTGCAGTGATTAAGTGTTACGTCACCAGAAGTTCATCATCAATTCTATGTAGTGTTGCCGTCGATGATGATGATGATGATGATGATGATGTGTGTGTGTGTGTGTGTGTGTGTGTGTGTGTGTGTGTGTGTGTGTGTAAAGATTCAGTGAAATATATTTGTACTGTATTTTAAAGTCTATGCAATCATAATATATATTTATATATATATGTATGTATATATATCATATTCCAATCAACACGAACATATGTAAACATGAAACGATGGAAATATGTCTATGAACCTATTACATACTGTACAGTACATACACATAAATAATCAAATCTCTGGATAATAAAAGACACAAGTAAGCTGACCACAACTCAATATGAACCCTCAAAAGACACTCTTGTTTACCTTAATCAACATACACCCCCCCCACCCCCCCCAGAATAAAAACAGATCATTACCTGACGCGGTGACCCGGAGTTTGGAAGGTGCATGTGTAACAGTACCCTGAAGTACACGATCAGGCAGGCAGACAGTCCAGTTCAGTAAAAATCACCTCCCCTCTCTCTCTCTCTCCGCCAGCAGCAGCACGCACGCGTTTTCAACTATCACAAGACACAACTATCACAGAGGTGTTCATCATAACACGTTCGCCTGCATCACCAACAAGTTCTTCTAACACACGCGCGGATGTTCATCACAAGGTTATGTTCTTCAGCAGAGCTCCTACGGCATAGAGGCTCGTCGTGGCGGCGATTGGCGGATCACTCGTACCGAGACGGAGGTTGATTAGGCACATTTCTCGCTCTAGGATTGGCCACGATTGGGGGAATGCCTGACCGATTGGCAATGCCCTGAGGGAGAAGAAGGAGCTTGAGGCATCGGTGTCCCATGCAGGGTGGCCACTCATAGAGCCGTCCGCTCGCTCCCACGATCCACACTCTATCTATCCATCTATTCATCCACCGGGTGGCGTGAGATCTCCACCAGGAGAGCGCAAATGGAGGAGGTGGAGAGGCCGGGTTAGTGGAAGGCGGTAGAGCGGGTGTTGGAGGCGCGGGGCTGACACACCCTCACGCGACGACTGTCACGGGGATACTGGGAGCCTCTCTCTGCCACGACCCCTCTTGCTGCCCTGCCTGGTATCTCCCGTCTCTCTCTCTCTCTCTCTCTCTCTCTCTCTCTCTCTCTCACAACCTTCTGTGTCAACATTAGCGGCAGGGATCTCTAGAGTTTTATAGCAACATCAGATAGTCAACTCCTGATATCTATACCACCATTAATCACCATTAACCATCAACCACCATTAACCACCCTCAACCACCATTAACCACCATCAACCACCATCAACCACCATTAACATATTTCCCAAATTTCAACTTCATCAACACAAATAACCACCCTCAACCACCGCAAGTAACCATCAACCACCGTCAACCTATCAGCCATTAGCCACCATCAGCCACAATCGGCCACCATCAACTACGTTAACCATCAACCACCATCAACCAATCAACCACAATTAATACCCATCAACCAGCCACCATCAACCACCGTCAACAACCACCATCAACCACCATCCAACAAACATCATGCCAATCAACATGCACCATCAACCACAGTGTACCATTAACCACCATCAACCAGACACCATCAACCAGACACCATCAACCTGCATCAACAACATCAAGCCACCATTAACCTGCATCAACCACCATCAACCACAATTACGCAACCATTAACCACCATCAACCACCATCAACCAATCAACCACAATTAGCTTCTATCAACCAATACCATCAACCACCATCAGCCACCATTAACCACCACCATCAACCACCATCAGCCACCATTAATCACCACCATCAACCACCATCAACCACATCAATACCATTAACCACCACCATCAACCACCATCAACCACCATCAATCACCATCAACCACCATTAACCACCACCATCAACCACCATCAGCCACCACACTTCATACCATCAATACCATCAACCATAAACACCATCAATGATACCATCAACCACAATCAATTTATTATCATTAAAATCCAGTTATCAATAACATTCATCCACGCCCTTTTACTTGCGTATCTATCGATCTATATATCTATCTATCTATCTATCTATCTACTGAGCTATCTATACATCTATCTATCTATCGATCTATATATCTATCTATATATCTATCTATCTATCTTATTTAAACAAAGATTTTTCACACAACCGCCTCCAATAACACAGTCTCCCCACGAACAGCCAAACGTTTAAATCAGTGCTCATTAAATTACTGTACATAACAATAATTGGTTCAACTATACAACATTAAAGGAGTGTATGTATGTATGTATGTATGTATGTATGTATGTATGTATGTATGTATGTATCAGTTAACACCATTTAGGCATTATAGGTTTTAAGGTTCATTATATGAAGGAAGGTTTCAAAGGCATTGGAAATTAATCGAAATATATATATAAAACTCAAGAAAAAATAGATCAGTAAATATAATAATGATAATAATGTAATTTATCTATGACAATTACTTTGATAATACTAATATTAATGGTGATAATAAGAAAGGTAATTATACTAATGATAATCCTACTGATTGCTATGGTAATATACTGAACAAATAACTACTCATCATCTATGTCTTTACTTAAACTAAATAACATAAGTTTGTACCTGTAACTGTATTTCTGAATTACGTGTCTGAGTCTGGTTTAAAATACAACGTTGTCTGTTATTTTTGTATTCCGTATTTATGTATTTCTTCAACAAGGAGAGTCTTTTAAGCAGGTGAACCAGGAGAGAATTTAGGGAGAGAAGGAGAAAGGACGCACACACACACACACACACACACACACACACACACACACACACACATAAACCAAAGTCGGATCAACAGACACACATAAACAACTCAAAAGAAAACGATATATGCAAATGAGGAGTAGAAACAAGCGAGACATAAATAAGGAATAATAGCATTATGTACAGCACTTGCATAACGAACCAAGACCCGTGTAATACATCCTTAAGGTGAACAATTTAGAGAGAGAGGAGGGGGAAGAAGAAGAGACCATGAGAGAGATGAGGAGGGGAGGGAGAAGGAGAGAGTAAAGAGAGAGGGAGGGAGAAAGAAGACAGGAAAGATAGAAAAAAAAAGTGAAAGAAGACAGAGGAGGAATAGGACGGGGAAGAAAGAATATACCAAGAAAGATGAGGGGGGGAGAGAGAGAAAGAGAGGGGAGTGGGGAAAGAGATAAAAAAAGAGTAGGGATAGGGAGGGAGAAGAGACGAAGAAGGAAAGGCACACACACACACACACACACACACACACACACACACACACACACACTGCCGACATTTGCCTTAAAATAAAACTAAAATAATTTATTGGTTCATTTCAAGTCTTCATTTCCTATCACGTCAGCTTAATTAGTTTTCTTTAATACCTTTTCCTGGAGGCACTGTTAAGCTGAGAGGACTTTAATAATATTCTCTCTCTCTCTCTCTCTCTCTCTCTCTCTCTCTCTCTCTCTCTCTCTCTCTCTCTCTCTCATATATTTTCTTTGAATGTAACTTTGGGTAAAACTTAGAGTTGAGTTCAGGAAACACTCAGAGTTACATTAATGTGTGTGAGGGAGTTTGAGTGTGTTGTCCTGCCGCGGGTAAATGTATTTAGGAAATAATAACAATAACAATAATAATAATAATAATAATAATAATAATAATAATAATAATAATAATAATAATAATAATAATAATAATAAATAAATACAGAGATAAATAAATAAATAAATAAATAAATAAATAAATAAATAAACAAATAAAATAAATAAATAATAATAAAATATAAATAAATCACTAAACAAAAAGAGTTATTTCAACACTTTCATCCTCAGGTAAATTCCCAGGTGTCACGTGTAAACAATTAAGACAAGAATACCTTTATCTCAACTAAGTATTAATGTCCTTTGGAAAAAAAGAAAAAGATTACTCTAGACAGTCATCAAACGCCACTGCATCAGCTACGAGACAACATCAATAAATATGATTACTAAGACCTTGAAAACATATATAAACACAGCTTGGAAATGTCACATACCTGCAGCTCTAGAATGTCAACACTAAACATAAGATAGACTGCAAAATGTCAAGGTAGAATTTACAAGAATGGCTTCTAAATATCTTACAGTCTGTCAATCAGTGTCTCTCTCTTATGTCTGCAGGAGGAAGTTAGTGGTATTGTGTATGTATGTTAGTTGTTAGGTGGTTAATGATGGTTAATGATGTCTTGTAGTGGGGGGAATGGGGGAGATTATGCTGGTGGTGTCTTCTATAATCACAATGACACACACACACACACACACACACTCCTCACAGGTGAAAGTACGTGGATGACTGCACTGTGGGGGTTACAGTGGACAACACCTCACCGGACTACTCATCGCTACAAGGCACCCTGGACAGGCTACAGGCATGGACTACGGAGAACAAGGTCACCGTCAATCACACCAAAACCGTAGTCATGCACATCAATACCGCCACCACTCCAGTGCAAGCCCCAGCAGTTACAGTGGGTGCCCATCCTCTCTAGTTAGTGCAGTCTGCAAACTCCTGGGCGTAACTATAGACCACAAACTGGACTGGAAGGTCCATGTAAGCAACACAATCAGGGCAGCCTCGTACCGACTCTACATGCTACGACAACTCAGGTCACTTGGGGCACCCACGCCAGAGTTGATGATTATCTACAACGCATTTAGTCTCCCAAATTAACGTATGCGTCACCAGCCTGGTCGTCTTCTCTCAACTCCACCCAACAACGTCAGCTAGAGAAGGTACAGAAGAGGGCCTGCAGAATCATGCTCGACGCATACTACTCCGGCTACAACAACGCTCTCTCCACCCTGGAAATGCCATCCCTCAGTGACCTCCACTACCACGCACTAGCAGGTTTTGGCAGTGGACTACTGCACCATACTCGTCATCGCACCTACTGCCACCGGCAATCCCCCGCCCACCATGCACAGTCCGCCACTACAACAAAATTCAGCCCATAAGAGCCCGCACTGATAGATAAAAGAATAGCACCATCCCATCTATTGTTAAAATAATAAACAGCTCCTGATTTATGTACTGTACAGCCCTCTAAATGTATTTAAAGTATATATATTATGTCTAAATCACATGTATGTTTGTATATTTTCAGCCACCGGCTGCAACTTTATTAATAAACCGTTTATTATTATTATTACACTCACTGAACATATATAAACGAATCTATGAATAAAAAACACCTTAAACACGAACATTATTTCAGTAATTAACAAAGCTTGCTAATGACCTTAATGCAGGGTCATAGGTAGGTCACAGGTAGGTCAATTCTGATGTTTTAAAATAACACCTACAAGTATCACCTTAGATAATACCGAGGAGAAATATTAAATATGAAACTCATTTATAGAGAATTAATTTACTGTTGTTGTCACTCCAGGCATTAGAACTGAAGTGACAATCTAAGCTACGAGTCTGAGTTACTATAATGGTTTACTAATTAAATTTAATGGTTAGCTTAGGTTAGATTAGGTTAAGTTAGGTCAGGTCAGTTTAGGTCAGGTTAGGTCAGGTATTTTATGTGTGTGTTTTGTGTAGTATGTATGAAGTATGTTGTTTGGTCTGTAATCACTTCGCTCGTTAATTACGTATTAGTCGTTCGTTATTTACTACTACTACTATAACGACACCTGCCATAACACCTTCTCAGTTAACCTAACCTAAACTAACTTAAGCTAACCTAACCTAACCTGACCTGACCTGACCTGACCTGACCTAAGGTGTTTTAACTATGGTCAGACCTGTGTTAAGTTGTCACAATTTATATAATTCTTCTTGTAATCTAAACTCTGTCATCATGATCCGCATCATTATCATCATCATCATCATCATCATCATCATCATCATCATCCGACAACAGCACAAAATCATCCATCATCCGTCAGCAACATATGATATTTTTACCACCATCATCACCATAACATCATCATCATCATCATCATCATCATACTA